TTTTGTCCCTGTTCGGACATTCGTCACAGGTCGTGCCACATATCAAAACGCTCGTCTTGATGAGACGAACATGCTCACCAAATTTGATAGCGATCCGACTCAGAGCGAGTGAGATACGGGCCTTTGAAGTTGCTGCTCGGGACTGTGCACATCAACCTCCTTTAATGGAGATTGGTGCAGGGAGGTCACATGGGAATAGCGTGCGGCCTACCCCTTTTAAATGTTTCACACATAACTTTGTCCTGGAAAGTCCGTTTAAGCCGAAATTTGACCCATAGGGGTTTTCGACCGTGCCGTATGCAATGACGGTGATACCACAACTGTTTAATGCGTTGAGAATAGAGTTCTAGTTACATGGTCCGTTTCGGGATGCTTAAGGCCGATTTTTTCGAAATGGTTTCTTTTTCTGCACTGCCTTAGACATGTTGGATCGCGACAAAACTTGGCAGATGGCATTTTGAAGTACTTGGAAAATTCTGACCCAATCTGGGGCAATTATGAGACTGTTGGGACATTCACTATATGTTGAGGCTTTATTGACTTGGTACCTCTTTATTCCTGATCAGGGACTAAGGTGCTGAAAAATGTCTTCAAACACTACTTAAAAAAAAAAAAAAGGCCGTCAAGGGCACCGGTCATAACGGAAGTTTAAAAGAAAAATTTATCAATGTTAAGAATTATGCATCAATTTTTTTTAAAGTAAGTATACTACTATATTAATTGGAAATTTGAAATATATATTTATTTGTAATGAAGCTCCTTCTGAATGTAGTAGGTGATTTTCATTGTAATTTTTAAATAAAATTTACAGTGCAATTCAAAATTACGAAAGAACTTACTTTTAAGAGAAAAATTAAAATTTTATTATTTACATGGAGTTTTAATTTAATAAATCACATGTGCAGTATGTATCCACGGGAGTAGAAAATTCGAAAAATGTTTATATGAATAAGAACCAAAGTTACAAATAATTGAATATAATGTAGTATAATATAATATTGACCTATAAATTTAAGATTTCATCTTGATATATTATAAGTTTTTATTTTTCATTTTTTAATTTGAGTATTTGATTTATGATAAAAAATAATGTGAAATATTTAACATTATTGGTAATTATTATAGATAATCACCATTACCTAATATTGTCAATATATGTTATATTAACATTATTATCTTATAGTAATTATATCTTATAATATATGCATAGTTGGTAATTAAATAAGGTAAATGTTTCTATGTGACCCCACCTACATATAAGTTATATGTAACCCCACTTCTTGGCCATTCGATCTGAATCGGACGGCTATGATTGTTCATACCACAATGTCATGCCAAACACTTTTTTTTTTTTTTCATTTTTTACTACAAAACATTTTGGGATGAAATTTTGGGCGTTCCATCATAAAATTAGGGCGAACTTAAAATAAAAAACAAATATTTTCTTCAAAAATAAATGACCAAAATGCCCCTGAAAATTTTAAGGGTATTTTGGTCCTTTTTTATCATTGAAAATGATATTTTATTATTTTTATCATGTGTGCCCTTGCCAGATCTATGCATGTCTCAAATTTTGCTTCAAAATTATTTGTAGAATAAAAATATAAAATAAAAAACTATAAGCCGTCTGATCAAAATCTGACGGTTAAAAGCTGGCTTGTGACCTTGTGACTCAAGCCATCTCAGCCATCTACTCTGATCTGACGGCTAAGACGAAGGGTCGCATATACTATATATGGGTGGGGTCACCTAGAAAGCTTTCCCATTAAATAAACCCATTAAGCATTGATCAAATGAGTTATTATTATTAATTTTATTATTGGTGATTTAGAATATAATAAGATATATTTAATTAAAATATTAATTACAATTTGAGTATATAAAAGGAAATTTATGATTCGTATCCAATAATTGATTTTTTGTTGTGATCTTTAATGTAAATTATTGTTTTCATCTCCAAATATTAATAATTAATATCAAATATCTACTACCAGTTTATAGATTTTATATAAATTTGTGATTTAATGTAATACAATATGGACTATATAATGTAATTAACAGTATATTATAGTAAGTTAAGTGTTTACATGGACTCCATTTTTAATAGAGGGTAATATATTATTTATATAGTAATATATAATATAATTCATTACATATTATATTCATATATTAAATATTAAAGGTTATATTATATGAAGAAGAAGACAAAGTATTTTATAAACTATGATTGACTACCTCAATTCTTTCACTTGATTTAAAATCTAGTATAGTATGTCATATATTATATTATAATAACACATATGATAGATTATAATATTATGAAAAACTTAACTTACATTGAAATTTCAGACTTTTCGGTGGAGAGGCAGCGGGGTCATAAAACTTAGGTGAACCTTGAGGCATACATTATGCTTTCAAGATCTCATATCATAAACGTCTTGAAAGATATTTATGAATATAATTTTTTTTCTCTATATTATGTAAAATATGGGATTGTATACAATGAGGCCATTTACCTTTGATACAAGGTGGTGATAATTACTAACAATTATCCGATGTGAAATTTGAAGGCTTGGGCATTTCACAAAGTTCGAGAAAATTTCTTTTGAAGTTTGAGCAGTGTTTCAAAAAGCGGACCGCTTAGCGCCTGGGTGGCCGCCGAGGCAGTCCAGATGCGCCCAGGCCTAGGCGGCCAAATTAGGCGGGGCATCCTCGGGCACCTGGGAACCCACCTGGGCGGCCGCCCAGGGCCTGCGCCCTGCCTAAGGGCAGAAATGCTGCTCGTTGAGGACATTTTTGAGTCATTTTGGGTCTTTTTTTTAATACTAAAGGTACAAAATTGTGGATTTTAGGTTTCCAATTAACCTAAAACCCATTAGAGGCTATTTTTGAGAGAGAAAAACCAAAAAAAAAGAAGTTTTTTACTGGGCCGCCCAGGTTCTAGGCGTCTGGCTAGGCGTTGGGGGGCCTAGACCCCCCCCCCCCCTCGCCTAAGTGCCGCCTAGCGCTTTTTGAAACACTGAGCTTGGTCAATGGAATAAATGTTGCCACCCAATTTCACATCCAATGGTCAAAATTTATTGTGACCACCTTGTATCAAAAGTAAATGGTCTCATTCTATACTTCTCCATAAAATATTATGAAATTTATGTTTTAACCAAACAAAATTTTAGCATAAAAAAATCTTCTTGAAATGGAAAAAGCTTAAAACATTATACCGTACTAAATGCCATGGGTTAAAACCTTGGAAGGGCAAGTACTCCCACGGGTTAGACATTTAAGAATCATATTCATATTTATTCATATTTTTTTAGATGAAACATTTAAAAAATCTGCTCCAAGAATATATTTAAAAATCTGCTCTAAGAATATAGCAACTTTTATGTCATAAAGAATAAATGTATAATACAGTCCCACAGGACCACAAAAAAATTCATCCCACACATTCCTATGTTTACTATAATATATATAATTAAATAATATTACTTAGTACGTAATATATGCCATGGAGTTAAAACTCTAGAAGGAGAAAAAGTACCGTACATGATCCCATAGGAGCACATTATAGGAGTACTCCCTCGCGTTAGACACTTGAGAAACCATATTTTTTTAGATAAAAAATTTCAAAATCTGCTTTAGGAATATATATTTAAAAAATATGCTCTAAGAATATTGTAACTTTTTTGTGATAAGGAATAAATGTATAAATACACTCCCGCAAGACCACAAAACATTTCCTCCCACCCTTTATTATGCTAACTGTAAGATATATTGAAATAATATACTGCAATAAATGCTCACGTGAAGCAATATGCAAAGCTCGATAAATATTCTCATTATATAATAAAATACACATATCATAGATGCCATAGTACATGGATATCATAGATATCAAGCATCATAGATATCATATGCATCATAAATGGAAATAGTAAATATCGATATATGCATTATACTATAATGACATATCCATATCATACAATAAAATATAATATACTACCATTATATAATATACCTAGTGATGTGTACTAGATCTACTAATGTCTAACATGCCATGTCATGGCATAAGACATAATACACCATAAGATCAACTTCGCAATATCTTAGAGAACTATTGAATATATTATATTTCGCTCAGACATGGCGGCTGAACCTGCGAAACTGCGGACTAAGCGGGGGATTACAAATACATATGATGGCAAACACTAGCACGCAATTTCTATTGTTTCGGCACGTACTCTCTAAAAGCGAACTCGCGCTTTATATATAGAAGATAGGTAACTATTATTCATTACTAAAATAATTTATACACCAAGATTTCAAAGTCAAGTTTTGTCGTACATGCTATTAGGGAAACTGTTCATGGATTGACTGCACCCGGTTACATGATGTTTCCAGTTGCTAGTTGTGAAGTGCAAAGGTGAACATATAATCCATATGTAGAAAAAGGTATTTCATGCAGTACTCCAAATGAGCATTAACCATTCACTCCCTTGGTGGATGGTGGTTGTTAAAATTTTAGTTGAGTGAATCTCCTGGTGGACCCCACTAAGTTTCATCTTCACTCTTTGTATCCAAGAACGACCAGTAATAAATACTCTCCCAGATTGGTGCTAAGTGTTGATTTGCCGGGTTGGACAGTTTGACTACAAGAATATCTATATAACAAATTTGATTAAGTTGAGACTAGTTAGGATCCAAAAGGGATGAATGTTACCCTCAATGGAGTGAAACTCATCTTTGCAATGTTCATTTCTATTGAGGCAGTGGAGAGCACATTATACTCTTGATGTTTAGTACACTTGTGCAATAACTTCTGTGCAGTGTTTATCACTGCTGCGGTTGTCGAGATGTTTCTTTGCTTGGTTTTCCTTACTGTATTTTATTTTTTCCATTTGTAGTTAAGGTGTTCTTTAATGGCTTTCTTTCTAAATTTCTCACTTTGTACTTATCATGCACTTGATATTGATTCATGGGGCTTCATATGATGATATGCTCAGATCTCTACTAGAAAAACTTTGGTGGATTCCTTTTTGACTGATATTAACAACTTCACATCAGATTGTGCCACCCCTGCTGGGATTGTGATGTTTACTGTAAGCTATCATTGGCTATTATGTTTTACTCCATTCTCTCTCGATGAAGCTTGAGATTCAGTTTGGTTATAGAGCAGAGTGAAATTTGTGTATGGATTAGGGAGATTTACATAAATATTTCCCTTTTTTTTGGAATTTAGAAAATAACCCCATGTTTTATATTTTACGTTCATGTCTCAATTTTTAAAAGCACATCTAGATGTTCAATTTTATTTTATTTCTCTATGCATTGGATTGAGTTCAAATTTTGGTGACCATAATTTTCACTACAACTCGTCTTTAAACAATATAAAAAATAACAATTTTAAATAAGGAAAATGACAAAACAACCCCTAAAATTTGTACAGATATTTGGTTATTTATTTTTATTTAATTATTCTTCATGTATTTTCTACATATGCATGATGGTGATAAGTATAAACACAAAAAAATTGTGCTCAATCTGGTGTATAATACGTATTTTGAATCACCAAATGAAGATCTGACGACTGAGATTTCACCTATATTACTATTCGTTATAGCTGTCAAGCGTTCGGTAGCTTCACTCACTCATATATATATATATATATATATAGGAAAACACTGGCGTAGGCCCACTAGCCTACAACTACATATGTGCCCAACGGCCCAGATTCAGTCTGGGCCGATCCAATGATCACGATTGTATTTTGTATTTGAATTTTAATTTTTTTCCATGAATCCAAATTACTTGAAATTTTGGTCGTGTGTTCTATAAAAATAGGAGAATCCAGTAAAAATATCAAAAAACTAGTTTGTGAAAAATAAATTGACCAAAATACCTCTCAAACTTTTTAGGGCTATTTTAATCAATTTATATATTGTGAATTATTTATTTAATATTTTTATTAGGTGCGTATTGGTGACAAGAATAGACGCTTAAAATTTCACGTGATTTGGATTTGTAGAAAAAACATTAAAATTCAAATACGAAATGAGGTCGTATCCGTCATATCAGCCCATATTGAATCTGAGCCGTTGGGCTCATATGTAGCTGTAGGCTAGTGGGCCTACGCCAGCATTTTTCATATATATATATATATATATATATATATATATATATATATATATA